GCAGTTAAGAAGCTGTGCAAGGCAGCAAAATGGTCAGAGCCCCTATGCCTCTGCTAGACAAGCCAAGGCTGGCAGCCTGCTTGCCTGGCTGCTTGTGTCTGGCCAGGGAACAGGGTTTTGTTGGCACTGACTGCTGCTGAGGAAGTAATTAGTAGGCTGTGAAATACTAAAAACTTACAGGTCTTCCCATAACACAGACAAATCTAAAAATTAGGTAAGACTACAAAGACTTTCGGAGAGAGAGCATGCTTTGAAAAGTCCTTTAAATGCCTGTAGAACTTTGGATAAAATTATTTGCTGATTATTATTCTTTTATCAGACATGCTCAATCTTAAATCTGTCTCTGGTGTTCCTTTTTGCACTTTGCATTGATACATTGTCTTCTTGGCCCTCTGTGCTTGTCGGGCAGTGAAAAGTGTAGCCATTGATTGGTTTAGGTCAATCATACATCCATTCTAGCACTTACCAGAGAAAGAATCTTTACAATAATGTGAAACTGGAATTAGTCACTGCAGAGCCCTTGATTGAAGTGAGCGATTGTCACAAACATCCATTTTGAGGAACCGAGGCAGAGATGCTTGAATCAAGCAAACTTACAAATGAGGCATTGTACGTTGTATTTTTGTAAGCAAACTTCCTAAGCTGATGAGGGACTTATGGCAGGCAAGTGGAACTGTGTGGAGGCAGGATGCTGTCTGGCGAAACCCACCTCTCTTCGTCTGCGATACCATGTAGGCAAGAAAGTTAAATGCTTGAATGAGGCTGAAGGCCAGCTCTACAGAGGGGACTGTGAGACAACCAAGAACCCCCTGCACCCACATTTTGAGCAACAGTACTTCTCCCCTGAGGAGGGATGACAGGCATTCGAAGGATATAAAAGGAGAATGGGCAAGCCTCTTGGTGCTCACCTGCTGCTGGAGGATGCCAACCACCAGCAGAAACTGCCGCTGGATCCAAGGGTGGTGATGTCTTTCCTCTTATCTCTCCTCATTTTTTCCTCTCTTTCTCTATCTTTACTTGATTTATAGGCACATAATGGTGATGTCGTAAGATTGTCAATCCACTATATTTTATTGTTGTGCAAAATCAGACATTATAACATTGTAAGATTTGCCAAGCCAATATCCATTGCAGTCCCATTGCATTAAAAGTGATGCAATTAGAAAGTCGTGAACATACCATCTTTTTAATTTTGCTGAATTCCGAGTAAAGCTTTGTTTTTAGTTGAACTTATCACATCATTGTCGTCACTTGTGGATATCATACAGAGATTTGAAAAGCTCACATCCCCTTATCCACTGAGTGGGACAGAACAGGCACTCACCTGTTAGTCAGTGTTGTTTGAACATTTACACTAACTTTTAAGCGACTATAGACTTTCTCCATCTTGCATATGCTTTGAAAAATTAACTTTGCTCATTTACACTATTATACAATTGCAATCCGCTAGATGATTAATAACACTTATTTCCTCTCAAAAAAAGAAAATTCACAGGTATGTAGCCTTTAATCACCTGCATAGTCAGTTTCTCAGTAGGTTTATTTTTTAAGATTCACTATGGAGAAAGCGGAATTTGTCTTACCACTACAACATTTAAAGATAAGAAAGTAAAGAAAGGAAATACCAACATCTGCCTTCCCCAAATACTATAATAATATAATAATATATACTATATATAATATTGGATGTAATACTATTCTAAGAATATAATCCTACCCGCACATCCACTTCAAGCCAGTGTGAGAGACAGGACCCCCATGTTCTGACCCAGTACATGATGGACCTGATGTCCTATGACACGTCCTCATTGCTTTAAACTAATACCTCCCTATTTCCTTATTATCAGGTACCTCGTGCAAAGATGTCCAAGGAATTGCCCTTTGTCTTGCTCTTCCTATATCCGATGCTGCTGTCAGGGGCTTGGTTTTCCAAAAGTTTACCTTGTGATGTTAAAACCTCTGAAGGCACTGTGACAGTGGACTGCACCGATCGGCGTCTCCTGGAAGTCCCCAGAGGGATCCCTGCAAACGCTACCAACCTTACCCTGAGCATTAACCATATCCCCCATATCAATCCAACATCCTTTGCTGGTCTTGAAAACCTCATGGAGATTGACTTCAGATGTAACTGTGTCCCTGTCAGAATGGGGCCCAAAGATTGCGTGTGCATCCGGAGACCAAAGATTGAGAATGGCAGTTTTGCTGCCCTGACAAGATTGAGGTCATTGTATTTGGATGCAAATCAGCTGTTGGAAATACCCCGGGGTCTTCCTGCTACATTAAGCCTGCTGAGCCTGGAAGCAAACAGTATCTTTTCAATCCAAAAAGCCAATTTTTCAGAGCTTGGTAACATAGAAGTATTGTACCTGGGACAGAACTGTTACTACCGTAACCCATGCAATGTTTCCTTTGAAATTGAAAAAACAGCTTTTCTGGAGCTGAAAAGATTAACGATACTATCCCTGAAGTCAAACAACTTAACTCATATTCCACCCTATTTGTCATCTACTTTAAAGGAATTGTATATTTACAATAACATGATTCAAGTGATTCATGAACATGATTTAAGTGCCCTTCACAACCTAGAAATTCTTGATCTAAGTGGTAATTGCCCACGTTGCTACAATGCTCCATATCCTTGTACTCCCTGCCCCAAGACCTCAATTGAGATACATTCCAGGGCTTTTTATTCCTTGAAGAACTTAAGAATTCTGCGACTTCACAGTAATTCTCGTCGGAAAGTGGAAGAGGTGTTAGCCCAGGTCCAGCCACGGCTGGGGCCTGAGGACATGCTGAAGTGACTGACTCGCCTCTGCCTGCCCAGACTTTCTCTAGAACAAAACACAGTCACTGGAAGCACAGGACACGTATGACCAAGTCACATAAGGAAGCATGTGCCCCACTGTTTGTTTAGCTGTGCTGTGGTGCTCCAGAGCAGCCTCAAGCCCTTCTTTGCCCCCTTGTTCCCCAGGCAGGTCTCTCTCCCACAGTGCCTGCTCGGGCACCACTAAAATCCCAAGGTTGGAACGAGTCTGACTTTAGAGACATCCTGAAAAAGGGAAGAAATGCTGCTCAGAAAGATACACGCTTGGGCCTGTTCCCCACTCTGGTTCACAGCATCGCCTCCTCAAACACGTGACACTACTTCAGCTGAAGCCTTTTGGAATGGCAGCCTAAACCTCTGTGTGTGGGGCACGAGTGGGCTCCCTGCCTGCTGTGAGGAGCAGCACACCCTCACCTCTCACCTTGGGTGCTCCTGTCCACAGCACAGTCCATGCAGCCTCTGCCCTCTCTCTCAAGGCCCTTTTCTGTTTCTGGCAACGAGCCTTAGTGACAGCTCTGGCCCATGTGTAACCAACACCCTTAGTTGCTTTGAACCTGCTGCAGCGATTGTGCCATGGTTGAATTCTCAATCTGGAGGGGTACAGGATGGGTAAAAAGCAGAGTCAGGACCCCAAACACAGAAAGGCAATTTTTTGGCTGTTTATGGGTACTAGTGTGTGGGAGGGTGGAGGATCTCTTGGGAAACTGCCTTCAGAGATAAAGGAGCGAACGAGAGATGGGGGATTGTTAAAGACTTTGTTTTCTCAGGGCGTGTGAGCTCTTAGTCCTGACGTTCAAGAAGAACAGAAGGGGAGGCATGAGGCAAGTTTGGTTAAGTGATGACCTCTCAGCCAAACTAAAACACAAAACCAATATGCATAGGCAGTGGACGCAGGAATACATGTTCCAGAGGTATTACAGGGATATGGGCCAGGAGTGCAGGGAGACCACGAAAGCCAAGGAACAGCTGGAGGTGAACTTGGCTAGGGATGTAAACAATAACAAGGGATTCTCCAGATGCATCAGATAGCCAAGATGAAAGAAACTCTACCTGCCCTGATGAGTGAAATGGGAGACCGGACTGCACCGGCATGGAGAAGGCAGAGGTACTTTTTTGCCTTGGTCGTCACTGGCAAGTGCTCCAGCCACACTGCCCAAATCACAGAATCCAAAGGCAGGGACTGGAAGAATAAAGAAGTGCCGACTGTAGGAGAAGATCAGGTTCAAGACCATCTAAGGAACCTGAATGTACTCAAGTCCACGGGACCTTGTGAGGTGCATCCAGAGATCCTGAGGGAATTGGTGGATGCAGTTGCTAAGCCACTATCCATCATATCTGGGAAGTTATGGCAGTCCAGAGCAGTTCCCACTAATTGGAAAAGGGGAAACATAACCCCCATCTTTAAAAAAGTAAAAAAGGAAGACCCAGGGAACTACAGGCCAGTCAGTCTCACCTCTGTGCCTGGCAGGATCATGGAGCAGATGCTCCTGGAAACAATGCTAATGCACATGGAAAACAGGGAAGTGATTGCTGAGAGCAAATATGGCATCAGTAAGGGTAAATCATGCCTGACAAATCTGGTGGCCTTCTACGATGGGGTTACAGCATTGGTGGGTAAGGGAAGAGCAACTCACATGATCTACCCAGACCTGTGCAAAGCATTTGATACTGTCTCAAGGTGGGTGGACTACTGAATGGATAAGGAATTGGCTGGATGGTTGTGTTCAAAGAGTTGCGGTCAATGGCTCGATGTCCAAGTAGAGACAAGTTACAAGTGGTGTCCCTCAGGGGTCTGTATTGGGACCAGTATTATTTAACAGCTTTGTGGGGGACATGGACAGCAAGATTGAATGCACCCTCAGCAAGTTTGCAGATGACACCAAGGTGAGTGGTGTGGTTGATAGTGTAGAGGGAAGCGGTGCCTTCCAGGTGGACCTTGACAGACTTGAGAGGTGGGCCCATGCAAACCTCGTGCAGTTTAACAAGGCCAAGCGCAAGGTCCTGCACATGGGTCAGGAAAATCCCAATCATGGATACAGGCTGAGTGGAGAATGGATTGAAAGCAGCACTGCGGAGAAGGACTTGGGTGTATTGGTGGGTGAAAAAATGAATATGAGCCAGCAATTAGTGCTACCAGCCCAGAAAACCAATGGCATCCTGGGCTGCACCAAAAGAAATGTGGCCAGCAGGTCAAGGGAGGGAATTCTGCCCCTCTGTCTGTTCCACTCGCATGAGATTCCCTGCCCTGAGTACTGTGTTCAGATCTGGCACTCACACTATGAGAAAGACATGAACCTGTTGGAGCGAGTCTAGAGGAGGGCCACGAAGATGGTCAGAGTACTGGAGCACCTCTTCTATGAAGACAGGCTGAGAGAGCTGGAGTTCTTTAGCCTGGGGAGGAGAAGAAAGGAGAGAGGAGAGGAGAGGGGAGGAGAGAAGGGAAGGGGAGATGAGGAGACAAGGGGAGAGGAGAAGAGGGGAGAAAAGAGAAAAGAGGAGGGGAGGGGAGAGGAGAAGAGAGAAAAGAGAAAAAAAGAAGAGAAGAGGAGAGGGAGAGGGAAGGGGAGGAGAGGGGAGGAGAGGGGAGGAGAGGAGAGGAAAGAGAAAAAAAGAGAAGAGGAGAGGAGGAGAGGGAGAGGGGAGGGGAGGGGAGGGGAGGGGAGAGAAAAGAGCAAAAAAGAAGAGAGGAGAGGAAAGGGAAGGGAAAGGGAAGGAAAGGGAAAGGAAGGAAAGGGAAGGAAAGGGAAAGGTAGGAAAGGGAAGGAAAGGGAAGGAAAGGGAAGGAAAGGGAAGGAAAGGGAAGAAGAGAGAAGGCTCTGGGAAAACCTTATAGCAGCCTTCTAGTACATAAACAGGGTCTACAAGAAAGACTGGGAGGGCATCTTTATCAGGGAGTGCAGTGATGAGAGGAGGGGTGATGGTTTTAAACTGAAAAAGTCTAGATTTACATAAGTATTAGGAATAAATTCTCTACTGTGAGAGTGGTGAGGTACTGGAACAGGTTGACCTTATAGCAGCCTTCTAGTACATAAACAGGGTCTACAAGAAAGACTGGGAGGGCATCTTTATCAGGGAGTGCAGTGATGAGAGGAGGGGTGATGGTTTTAAACTGAAAAAGTCTAGATTTACATAAGTATTAGGAATAAATTCTCTACTGTGAGAGTGGTGAGGTACTGGAACAGGTTGCACAGAGTAGCTGTGTATGCCCCCTCCCTGGCAGTGTTCAAGGCCAGGTTGGATGGGGCTTTGAGCAACCTGGTCTAGTGGAGGGGAACCCTGCCAATGGCAGAGGGCTTGGGATGATCTCTGTTCTGCCTGATCCCTTTTTTAAATAGCCCCTTTTTTGATTTATTTGTAGGCAACCGGACAGACAAGAACACAAACACCAAGAGGAAAACCAAGATTCGTATAATGATATTAGAGATAACAAGGATTTTTCCTCCCAATTTGTCACAGCATTTTTATTAGGAACAGAAGTCAGAAAAAGAGGAGTGTCTGGTTGAAGAACTGAGAGTTTAATGGTTGTATTTTAATAATATGTATTTTAATAATGTATCTTTCTGATGGTTCTGCTTGTAAGTGTAAATAACCTGTATCTCTAAATATGATAATGTGAGCTATAATATGACTCTCTTCATAAGATAATGCTTGAAATAGGAACCTCTGCCCCCCATTTACTCTGATACCAGCTCCCTCTTCCTCCTCACACCAATTTTACCCAGAGCAGATCCTCTTTTTCAGCCTAATTGAATAGGGCAGGGATACAAGATCACCTGGCTTTTCCGAGGTTGAGGGTAGAAGTAGTTACTCCTCTTCCATTAAGAAACATCCAAAGGACGGGTAAGGCGTGAGTAGCAATGCGTATACATACAGAAGTCTGAGCTTACGGTGTGGTAAGGGGCTTATGAGTGCTGCAGTGCAAGACTGCAGAAAGGCCAGGGACACTGCAAAAACACTTTTGTGAGTATCCACAAGAGACAGTGAATGGTGCTGTGCTCTGCAGTGGGAAACGAGTGATCTGCTGTCATGTCACTGTCCACTGCTGGGGACAGCATCACCAGTCACCGGGAGAAGAGCCCACAGCTGTTTCCATGTGACAAAACCCTTCCTGTTAACCTGCAAAAAACACAGCCAGAGGAATAAGGAGGGATCAAGGAAGACTCAAAAGCCAAGATTTCTTTTTTTAGCCTGCCCCTCTCCTCACCCCATTTCTGTGTTCTGTGACACCCCGGGCTAGTAACCATGCTTCAATGAGGAGGTACCAGCCCAATTAGGTGAGGCAGGCCTACATCCTCCTCTCTGAATGCTGCAGGGTATGCTAGAAGGGAGGCACATACTGTCCTGGACTATGTGTGTTTTGCAGACTGAAGATTACCTCTGCACTGACAGAGCAACTGGGTTTGGGGCTTTTCTTAGGTAATTTCATGCATAGTAGTTAAGACCATTTAATTGGTGGGCACAAGCTCAATCTAAGTCTTTCTGGAACAGGAAAAACAATTTTATTTTAGATTAGTTAGGTCTATAACCAAGACATGCCTTAAATAGGCATGGCCACCCTTCCTCCTGGAATCTTTTTTTATAATGGAGCTCCACCAAAAAGGTAGGAGTTATTTATTATTGATTAATAATTTGTTGCTTTAACTGTATGAGGATTTTAACCTTGGGACTTGCTTGCCTGGTTGGTGTAGCAGTGTCTGAATTTACCAAATACTGAAGAGTCCTGAGGTTTCTATACCTCAGGGTTTCACAATGGTAGCTTGTGATCTGGTGTGAGGTCAATGAGGAGGAGGAGGTAAGGGCATTCAGCTAACCCAGATGTAGACATCTACAGCTGCACTAACAGGTCTATGCATCATTGTCCCTTCAGAGGTGAGATCATAGAGGCATTTTATGAATATCACTTATCTCATCCTAACGCAGAGGTTTAAGACGGGTCAAAGTAATTACAACCCAAAAATAGAATTTCTCTCCATTAGC